CCTGCACCTGCCACGAAATCTGCACTTCAACATCCACAAAGTCCTGCGCCTGCCACGAAAACTGCACCTCAACATCCACAAAGTCCTGCACCTGCCACCAAATCTGCACTTCAAGGTCCACAAAGTACTGCGCCTGCCACGAAGCACCAAAATACAAAAGATTCAAACAAAAGCAAGAAAAATCCTAAATTAAATTCGAGCCCCATGAATGTTTGTGCAGATCGCTGTAGTTGCTTCAGATTTTCCTGTCTTCTATGTTTGTACAGAGGAGTCACCCCAGAGGCAGAGAATTCCGTGACCTCCTCAGTTTTTCACGATGTAGTTTTTAGTTTTTTCCTCTGAACGTATAACCCCTTTGATCAGTTGCAGCTTTGGACTTCTTTTCATTTGTGAAAGCGCCGACAATGCTCAGCCTGTTTGAATAAGTTGAATCCTTGTGGGCCGCCAACTATATACCTCATTAGTTGGAACTACACACTACACACTAGTGATAGGTGGCTATGTTCTAACCGGTGCTGGTTGGATATGTTCTTAGTGTGTAGGTTTTTTGTTCTAACCACATGTCCGTTTTTTTTGTTCTAAGTCATGAGTTCCGTCGTTTGGAAAAAAAACTATGTTCTAAGTCTTTGTCCGTCGCTATACTGTAATTTCCTAACCATTTGATGTCATGTTTTGGTTCTTGTTTTGAGGGCCCCAGCGCGGCTAGTTTTCCTGCTGTTTGAGTGACATGGGTTGAATGATTCATTTTGCCTTTTAAGAGCTGACGCTTGTTTGTTCACACTTCTCCGATTGATTCTGTTGGCTTTTGGTGTGTTGTGAGGACCTGTTGCCTCCAATATGTAGAGGAAAGAGGGCAACATGTGTGCATCAGCTTTTGCATAGTTTGGCACGCTTCTTTGCAGCGGCACGTGGAGGCGAATTTGCACAAAGGTGTTTTGGGGCATCGTCATTTGGCTTAAGGCTTGTTGGAGTTTTCTTCGATTCTTTTGGCCAACAAGTTCTAAAGATCGAAGCCTTGCAGGAAGATAGCTGGGAAGATAGCTGGAGCACTGGCAGAGCTGGCAGAGCTGATAGCGGGTAGCTCTGACGAAATGCAGTCCTTTGCTTTGGATGATCTCCGCAAAGCGTTGCGCATCCATTTTTACACAAGGTTTCTTTTCGATTTGAAAACATGCAGGACTTGTTCGAGCAGGGTTATGGATTTCCACACTTCGGTGAGGACATCAACACCAGTTGTATGCAAAAGCTTGGGACAGTTGTGCACATGGACTTGAACAGTTCGTTGCAGTTTGGTTGGCTGGATTTGGCTCATGGGTTTGCCGACATGCTCGCTTCTTTGCATCTCTGCAGCCGGGGCTCAGTAGTGGCCCTTGCTTGTATGCCATGCGTGGCTGGAGCCTGGTGCTCCTGCCAGGAACCGTGTGTCAGAATGTGTCAACTCCATGTTCACTGGCTTTGGTGTGAAGAGGTTGCACTCGCAGAAACTGATTCCAGACGGGAGGTTTAGCCACTGGTTTGACTCAAGAATCCAGGGAGATCAGGGAGGAAACTAACGTCTCCTGTTTAGCGCAGAACCACCAACATACATGAAGAAACCGATGAAGACCATGCAACTGCATGCAGGCTTGGTGTATGGCTTGGTTCTGAAATCTGGAAGTGCTCCTTAGCTTCAATTATGTAGTGAAATGATGCAGACTCCAGACGCAGATCTTCCACAAGGATGCACCAAGATTGTTTGATAAGCATCAGATGACACCCGTGACTTCTGCGAGCTCTTCGTTAGGCGGCGCATTTGAGCACCAGCAACTTGAAAGCAATTGGTCATTGCCTGCAGATGTCCACATTGCAATTCTGTTCCAGCGCTAGGCGATGGCTTCCAGCCAATGGAGCAGTCAGGGACTCAGTTGAGTGAGGCGGTGGTGTGACGCACGAGAACTGTGAGATATGTGAGTGAAATCACGAAAGGTAGCCTCGGCTACCTAAGTTCTTGGTTTAGCAAAATGATGTGGTTGTGGAAGTCTCCACTGCCTGATTTCGATGATTTTGCTGTATATATATATATAAGTATCGATTTTAGATGTCGGCTCAAGTTTTAAGAGTGCACTATGCACGCAACGCAACGCTATTGCGAGGTGGCGGCAGACGCACAAGGTAGGGTGGAACAGCATCAGCGCTGTTTTGTCGTTCACATTCTTGTTAACACTGCCCGCATGTTGCCAAAGGCCTCAGCTTTGAGCCAGACTGCAAGGCTGGTACCTTAGAAATAATCACATTATTGCATTAGATTGACAGAAAATATGTACTTGAGGAACCTATATATAGAACCTTACAGCATCTTACAGCCTTGCAGTAGGTTCCTATGGAGAGAAACTTGCTCGAAGAACCCTTGTTTGAGCTGCCCCTGACATGTTCGTTCTTCTTTTTTTTAACCAACACGTTTTTGAGAAATGTTGGTGTGACTGCTTGATACTGCTTGTTGTATGGAGTTTGGCTCGACTGGTCAGGTCGTCACTTTCTGCATATCGCAGAACCTTGAAGGCCAACTTGCATCGCCATCGTGCTTCGGCAAGGAAGAGAGGATGTCCTGACTCAGGGAGATGTAACATCAAACGCTCGGCAAGTCGGTTCATTTTAAGCTTAGAACAGCAAAGTTTTCGGCACGTGCTAATGTAAGATCCCAAGGTGTCATCATGCACGTTGACAAGACGAAGCTTAGCGGGCCCGTTGAACTGGCATTGTTGTAAAGATTCTGGTTCAGACTTGAGACATTATTTTTTGTATTTGCATATCATTTGAGCTGTATATGAAAAGCTCGGCACTCTGCCAGTTTCTAGATCTGGGAAACATGGCGCAACTGAATCTTGATGGCACTTCACGCTCTATTGCAGCATGTGGAGTTGCGGGCAAACTTTGTTCGACGTACGTTGAGTTTCCCAAAAAATCTAGGAACCAAATCATGCGAGGGTTTCTTCAACGAAGCCGTTCTCCTGCTGGGGTAGCTTCCTTGAAGAAGCCTGAGCTTTTTTGCGTCCCAACCTACCATATAATTGCTTTCGAGGTCTACTACTTCACCTACTTACTATATACTTGATCGCTTCTTGGCTCACTATGGCCTCCCAAAATTCCAAGGATCTGTGGGATTTGCATCAACTTATCGCTGGTGGCCTGCATGATGCTTTTCCCTGAGCGAATGGCATGCATGCAGCATGCAGCTCTTCCGGAGCACAAATTGTCTCAACCAACATCAACATCAATAACACCCTCAAATGCATGCAGCTGTGTGTTCGGGCTCAAATGCATCACCATGTTTCACTGCTTCCAGACGTTGAACTTTACATGCTTCAATCTTTATTGAGTTCAGATGTACTGTATGGACATCACCAATGCCTCAAAGTTGTTAGAGCACTCATGGCCCCTGGTCGGAGCATCTTCGTCAACGCCTTGAAGTGAAATACTCTGTCGTCTTTGTGCTGGGGATGTCTTGATTGATTGAACTAGAGGCCAGCAGTGGAAGGCCAATGTGGGAAACGAGCTTGACTTGAGCATGTCTGCATGATACTCAGGCGAAGCATGGCAGTGTGGCTGCGTTGCTTAGTATGCCTTTGCATGTTCTGCCCCGAGCCCTTGCGTACTCTTACCAAAGAAACGATCCTTGCACTGTGGCGTTGTTGACAAACCGAGGCCTCGCTTGTTGCTGGCTGCAGGAGGAATCACAGAAGATGAACGTCTTTTGGTTTCTGATGGGTCGCTGCAGTCTTAGACACAACTTTTTTGTCATTGACGTTCGTTTCCTTGTGCTCAATCAGAATTGCCCTTCAAGTGCTTCGAGGTGGCACCGGAATCAGCGCAAGTCCATCTCTATTGTGCATTGGCCTGCTTTTTAGCACTTGCAAAAGTGACTTCCCACTTTCCTTTACCTTGGTGTGCGGAATGTGTGTGGGTGGGCAGAAGCTCTTGATGTTATTTTGGCCAGGAAACCTCCTGCTACTACACCACTATGGAGGCCATGTGCTGCCCTTATTGCCTTTAGCCCAATTGGATTCCTATCACCGGCAGCGGTTGATATGTAAGAGGTACTTACTGCTTACTGTGTGTCTGTGTGTGATCATTGATTTTCTTTGTGGCTTCTGTCGCGGTGGGCGGTGGCCTGTGTGGTTGCCGTGGTTTTCTAGTGGTCGGATTTGCTTCCTTCAGTATGTCTTCCTGCTATATGCATTTTGCTTCCTTTCTTTTGGCCTTCCGATTTTTGACTGTCCAGTTCAGACAATTGCCATGTTCGGCTTTTTGTGCTCTTGGAAGCTCTTTGATCCTTGTAGATGTTCATTTGTACTTTTGTTTTGATCTTCAGCCGGTTGAAGCAATTGTGCTTGTATTTATTTGTTGTCCAAGGCCATATGGATGTCAGTATGCCCGAGCATACTTTCCATCCTATCAGAACGAGTTCCAGCGGAAAGCAGAGCGATGAACTTATGCATTTGACTTGCAACACAGAGCTGCATTCCTCAATATGATCGTGCTAGGGGTATTGGGTATCCTGTCCAAGGAAGGCTGCACTTCTTGAATTCTACAACTTGTGTGGAGGCTTGATCCTCACGGTGGAAGGTCGATTTCAGTGCATGTTTGCGTTTAAAGTCTACCTCAATCCTTCATTTGGGATGCTTTCCATGCCAAAGGATCTGCGTTTTTTCCCCAAGACAACACAATTGAAGTCTTTGTCGGGTTTCTTGATTTTGCTTACTGTATATAAGTGTTTCTGCACTTGATTTCGATGGCCGTGTTTGCCTTTTGGCAGAAAGAGGGGGAGAGAGGGAGAGAGGCGGGAAAGGACACCCAACAATGAGCAATTCAGGTGCCAAAGTGGAAGTGTGCAAATTGAGTAAGTAGGCATTCTCATAAAGCCTGGAGACAGGTTGCCTTGATACGTTTGGTCGTGGTGCACGTGTTCACTATTCAGGTGACTTTTGGAGAAATCGAGACAATTGGAATTCGGTGTTGCTGGCACAATTGCTTTTGCAGAAATCTTTTTGGCATACAGCACATGAATAGTTATCCGGATCTCAACCACGACAACGGGAAGCAACTTGGCAGGAATCGGACCCTTGTTGGGACTACTGGTATGGAGTGACGTGCAACGAGCATGGCTATGCCCTTGCCTTGTGGCATTCCTGTTTGTCACCCACTGTCATTCTCACCAACTTTGGTGAGTCAGGTGATCAAGTTGGAGCTTGCTGACAACAGAGTGCGGGGCATCCTTCCATCAACATTAGGCAGGTCGTTATCATAGATGATGCTACTCGACTCGAGCTATATAATTCAACCCGAAGGCTCGCTCACTTCATTGGTCAAAATTGACCTCTCCTCGACAGAGCCAGAGTACCACTTGTGGCTTGGTACCACAGGCATTGTCCTTGAACGAGGCAAAGAGGTCGCAAGATTATCCGCACGCAAAGCTGCTGCAGACGTTTTTGCATTTTTGCAAGTGTAGCAATCTCTTAGATTCCAGATCCAATTGGTACAAGTTCATAAATCTTGAATACTGTATTACTGTTTGGTAAATCGCCCTTCATCATCATCATCACCATCATCACCATCATCACCATCACGGTGCTGAGAGCCAAGGCATCCCAATGATGAGATGAATCGTGTTGAAGGGCAGGATTCTTAGTCCAAGAAACGACGCCGTCCATTCCCTAATGCTGAAGGCACAAAGTCGCATGGTATTTATGGTATTGTATGGTACATATACTGTACCAGACTACTTACTGTTCCCTTCTAGACAACTTGGGTCCAGTAACTTAAGTAGCTACAAGAAACTGGATGCAAAAGAACTCTTTGCACGATCGATTTGGTTCCTATGTCGATTCTTAGTGAAACCTAAGCTTTAGGCTCTTTAGACCTTTCTATATTCCTTCCTTTCTCTCTTCCTTCCACTACCTAACTACCTGATGGCAAGGGGTAAGAATCTCTGAGGGTCATACCATCTTTGGCGCTTTGCTTCCAGCTGGAAGAGATAGAGGCATTGGCGGGTTACTTTTTTTCTCACCCGTCATGGGTCCTTTTCGGACCAAGAACAGGTGTTGTGGCTGCTCGAATGAAGCGCAGAACAACTTGCATTGTTGTGTCAAATGCGGGAGGTTTCTGGAAATTTGATCTTGCGCTTGCCAGATGTACCGCACTTAAGCTGTTGCACAATGGTGGGTTTGCACTGCTTGCTAATGCCATTTATGTCATTGTCTCAGGACTTGTACCTCAATGCGAACACCCTCAGATCGTTGAGCGCCAGCCGAAATTTGTTGAGGCTCTTGATGTAAAGTAAAAACACACGATTTTACTCATACAAAATCAGCTGTTTGTGCTGTGAGGAATCTCCCAATATACCTCGCTCGCTTTCAGTTGCCAGAGACCTACTTGACAAGTATGTACACTGGACAGACCTTAAGAAAAGCTGCGTGGCATTGAACCTCATTCATTGTAGACCTGGCTGACCTTTGGGTGAAATCAGGTTACACACACTGGAGCTGGACAACAATAGAATTGAGGACGGTCTGGCGTGTCATGGCCAAATGGCAAGACGCCAAACATGCATACATTTATGGGTGTTCGCCGTTTAATTGCCTGCATTCTAGATGCAATCATTGTTTGCATTCTGCATAAGCAATGATCGCAAGACTGTGCCCAGAAATTCCTAAAACCAAAAACACACACACACACAAAAGCAATGATTTGGAAATCATGTCCAGAATCATAAAACCAAACGAAGAAGCAGATGATTTGGAAACTGTGCCCAGAATCCTAAAATGAAACACAAGACTTTAGACACTATATGCATCCTGCAAAGGTTGGGACTAGTTTGGAAGTCAGTTGTTTATGTTTTTCTATGGTTTGCTTGGGTTGGGGACGAACGCATATTAATATTGCGACTAGATTGTTTTTGTGGTTTCTCTTACAGTTGTTCTTTTTCAGAGAAGTCCACCTGACCTATACAATTTTGTTTCTTGCCAAGTGTTTCTGTAATTCTCTTCCAGTAGCACCAGCACTTGCTTGGGATATATTTTCAAGGGCTTCTCCTGCCTGTAGCAACTACCCCTGCTATATTCCCTGCTTTTCCTATCATTCTTTTTAAATAGGACATAACACGTCTAGATATTGCAAGCAATAGATCAGCATATACACGAGTCTTAATAAATAAAGATGAATGTTCAAATTTCAATATATATATATAGACTTGAATGAACATGTAGAATGTAGAACTACCTGCGAACTCCAAGTGTCCAAGTGTTGGATTACAGAAATGTCCATCCCCACCGCTTAGAAAATTGGTCGGGTTAAAAGGTTGTATTATTTGTTGTATGATAACAGTAATGTCAGTAATGTTCTGTTGAGAAATGGCTCCATAGATTTGTCTTACCAAGTGTTCTGCTGAACAGTGTTCTTTTGATACTCTGTGGTGTGTGGAAGTGTATGCGCAGAATATATATATATATATGTGGTACCCCCAAACAAAAAGAGAGAGCAGGAACACACCCTTTCATCAAATTTACTGGTATTTACAGTGTTTTATGCATATTTTTGGGTATTAAACATCTAATCAAACACAAGGCACTTTGCAATTCAACGTAACAAAACGAAAACACATGAAGTACGACCAATAAAAAGAACGTGCAATGACAAAACAAAAAACTTTGAGGAGAATGTTTGGTTCAGCCTCAACAGATGTTTCCTTTTTTGTTTTCATTGTGTTTTTGTATTTTTTTGTTTGAAATCCAACACCAAAACCAAAAACACATTCGTTGTTTTTTTGTTTTTTTTTTTTGAAGGTTTATGGTTGAAGAAGACTATCAAAAACAAAAACACACAAGTTTTTTGTTTTTGATGATTTGCTATGAGTATATAAACAAACCTTGTGTTTCTTTTCGGTTTTTGGCAGTATTCTAGATAAACTTTCAAACAACTCAAAAAACACAAGGTGTTTTTGTTTTGGCATTTCAAAACCAAAAATATGAACACAATGAAACCAAAAAACCATCTTTTGAGGCTGAACCAGACAAACATTCTCCTCAAAGTTTTGCTTTTTGGTTTTTGTGTTTTGGTCCTTTGGGCTTTTGCACAACCTGTATACATTTATTGGACGTTGATTTAGATTTGAATTGTAATATAGGCAAATTTTAATTGAAATATAGATTTTAATTTATTTCCAATGGACTTTCAAATTTAGATCTATGTCAATTCTACTTTAAGTGTTATACAATTTTAGCCAACTTTTTAAACCAAAATTGAACAGAATTTATAAAAATAGACCATATAATTATCATTTAATTCTATTGAACTAACATTTATTCATTATGATTATTTAAGTCTAACTTAATTCTAAATCTAAACTTTTAATTCGAGTTCGAAGAAGGATTGCATTCAAATTTGAATCTAATTGATTTTAATTGATTTCTAATTTACGTTTAGTTTCAATCTCTAATTTGATTTTAATTCAATTCTAACTGCAATTCTCTATTGTAAATGGCATTTGAACTTTAATTCTCATTCAAGTCTAATTCTAATTCCTTATTACAGTAAGTGACTTCTAATCGATCTGCAGGTTAAGCAATTGAATTTCAATTCTATCTTAATTCTAACCCAATTCTATTTGAAAGAATGAAATTTTGATTCAATTTTAGTCTAATTCCAAATCACATCTAATTTAAGTCTAATGTGCTTTTAGCTTATCTCGCAGTTAGTTCTAATTTAGTTTTATATTATTCAAATTCAGTTTTGTTTATATTTCAATTTCTTTGTAATCATTTTTTTCAATTGAAATTCTGAATGATGACCTAATTCTAATTCAATTCTAATAGAAAACAAGTTCCAATCTATTTAATTCTATTATAAGTAAATGTTAATTCGGTTTCAATCATCATTCAATTCAACTTAATTGTTGAGTAACTTCCATTTTTTTTGGAACTGAACTTTTAACTGTTACTTCTTTTCAAGTTAATTTCTATGCAGTTTATGTTTAAATCTAATATAGTTCTATTATTTTTCCTAATTTTGGCTTTTATGCAATTTTAATTTGCTTCTAGAGAGTGCGTTTTGCTTTTAAGATGAACGCTTTGTATATAATTCATGTGTTGCGTTCTTAAAGGTTGTTTTCTTAAAATCACACCCCCAGCAAAACCCTCTCTCTAGAATAAATTTGTCATAATGAATAGACATATGTAGATTGGCATTGAACTAGAATCGCATTCCAAAAAAAATTAGAACTAAGCAACATTCAATTGGTAATCAAAATAGAATTAAACTAGAATTGTAAAACAACTGAAATTGAATTGTATAAGACTAAAACTAGCTGAAACTAAAGATATTGCATTGAACTAGAATCGAATCAAAATGACATTAGAACTAATCAAACTTAAATTGGGAATCAACATAGAATTAAACAAGAATTGTAAAACAACTGAAATTGAATTGCATAAGATTTAAACTAGCTGAACCAACAAACTAATTACAAATAAACAGAAAAATAAACACAACTAAGATTGAGTTAACATAAAACTAAATTTGAACTAACTTCGAGATAAACTAGAAGCAGGTGTTTTTTTGGGGGGGCTAGCACATATATATATATAGATGTATACATATTTATGGCTGATGTAGACACAAACAACTTTAAGTTCAATACACTTCCCTAGGGGACCCACGAATCAGAGCCCGCCCACCTATATTGTTATTCAATCATTTTTTGTTTGTTCATTTATATATAAATATAACTGAATAACAGGACACTTGCTACTTGCTATTTGCAATTTGCAACTTTTCAGGATGCATTTCCAACAGACTTTGGACAGCTTCGAAACATTCGGCCTGGGCCTTGTCTTTAACGCGGGCTTATTCTGAAACATGTGAAGAAGGGGGAGAAGCGCATAGGAGGAGTGTCTCGTTCCTGCCTTTTGCCGCCAAAGGATAGTCCACTTGCAGTACAACCGGCTGAAGGGCAGCATAACCCAGGCAGCATTTGGTCTTCAGTGACGCATGAGTAAACTTGAGCGGCAGGATATTGTCCCGATGGACAAGATTCGAGCAGACTCCCTAGTCCTTTAGTTGCTGACACATGCGTGGCCCTTAGTAGGCTTTTCAAGAGCAGAGCTTGCCGTTCAGGTATTTGATGTTTCGCACAATCCAGAGTTGGGTGGTGTCATACCTGAGCAGATCATTGTGGATTGGGCTGCCCCTGGATTGCACTCCTGCCTGTGCTCTTGAGTTTCAATCCTGCAAACGCAAGCCTCCGAGCTACAGAAACAATTGAGAAGGTCGGTACCAGTGAGAACCCACTGGGAATGTGTCTAGAAAACAATGTGAAAGGGAAGACCACTTGGAACATGCTTGGTTCTGTATAAGGATTGTTTGCAGAAATCAAGTGGGCGGCAACGTATTACATTTTCACACGGCCCAGTGGGAGTACAAGAGCCACCTCCGCAACCCCGGTGTTTTGTGGGTTCGATACCGCTTAACCGCCTTAGCCAAACATCATCACCACATTGCGCTATCGCATCATACCACTTATTTCGCCACATAGCCGCGCTCTCCGCTTCGCCACATCAAATGCAAACAAATCACATCACGAGCAGATGGTCCTGGTTTTGATGTTGGAAGCTTCTGTTCTGCGGCTTTGCTGGAAGTTACTGGTATTTGTAAGCCTTGCTGCAGACATCTTCCCCGCCCATTCCAGAGCTCAAGCAAACGTACACCGACATGTCCACTTAGATCCATGCTCGCAAGAGCTCTATCAGTTTGGATATGGCAGAAAGTTAGTTACTGATTACATTCTGATTACATTAGACCTTGACTTGCAAAACCGCAGGCCGAAGAGTCAGAGAACTGAAATGTTCAACATCGCGAACTAGCACAAGAAAAAGTGGAGTCACAGCGTAGTCAACAGCTCAAAAAGAAGGGAGAATTAACATTTGCAGGTACAAGATACTGCGTCCAGTAGCTCATCCAACCGAACACCACAGCTTTAGCTTTGTTATCGCGGCTAGGTGAACGGTCGCCCTGCTCCCTGCTGAACTGTACAAGTTAGTTGTGTCAGAGGTCCTTAGGCTAACAGGACTTGACGCACACAGAGAGCCGTATCCGGCGTGCGCTATATAAAAAAGATTGCGGGAGCCCATAGGCACTTGACTCAAAAGGCCTGATTACCAACCTAAAAAGTCTCTAGAAACGAAACGAGAGAAAAACTTAGAAATAGAAGCGGGGGCAAGAGAGAAAGAAAGCGGGGCCGGGGGGGCGGGTGTGCATCGATTAAACGAGCCTAAGCGGCAACCTAACAAGCCTCAGAAAAGACCTAACAAACGAAAGAAATCAAGGAGAGAAAGGGGGTGTGGGGGGGTGTGTGTGCGGTGGCCAAAAAACCGAAGTCGGCGCGCCCTTGACTAAAGACTTAACCTGCAACCAAGCCTCTAGCAACGAACGAAAGACCTAGAAAGAGAAAAACCCGGATAGAGAGAAAGCAAGACCGTGCATGAATTACTCAGTTTGTGATTACTGAGTCGCATGACATGTCATTCTAGGTAGAATTTCAGTGGGCGCTGCAGCATAATAACAGCAATCTCACGCATAACGATAACCCGGTGGTGATCATGCAAGAACGTTGAGCCGGTGGTAATCCTCCTTGAGGGTCTATGCTCATAGCGCCCTGAAGGGATCACACTGCGCACGACAGTGGGTGATTTCCCAGCAAGATTAGTGCTTTACATTACTGATGCTCGACCTTGACTTGCAAAACCGAAAGGTGGCATGGTCCGCATCAACCGAATGTTTCAACACAGGCGCGTTAGCGCTTGTTCAACCAGAAGGAAAGTTAAAATTGGCGCAGGTACGCAATGCGGCGTCCCACATTGCTTCACCACGAACTGACGGTGTCTTCGTTGGGCAGCGTCTGTCAGTCGTGCGCTGCCCCCCTGCTTCTATGTGCCTTGGGACAGGAAGTGACGCGTGCAAAAAGCCGGATCGGCGCACTCTCTTTTTCTCCGCGGGAGGGGGGGAAAGGGGAACGAGCCTAAAAGTTAACGTGACAAGCCTGAAGGAAAGATCAAAGAAACGAAAGACAAGGAAAGAAAAGAAGGGGCGCAGGGGTGCGTGTGTAGGGTAGGGTGGGGTGGGGTGACCAGCTCAGGCCCGAAGGCGTTTGACCAGAAAGCCAAAATCGGCGCTCTCTTGAGACTCTTGAGACTAAAAGATTTCAGTTACACCTGAAAAGCCTTTAGCGACGAAGAAAGACCTAGAAAACGAAGAGCAACAGCAGGAGAGAAAGAACCAAAAGGTGAATACTTAGCCGCATGGTATGTCATTCTCTGAAGGATTCTCAGTGAGCTCTGCAGCTTCGAATCAGCGATCTTGAGCAAGCCGCTGAATCAGTGGGGCTCGAGCAACAACGAATGTTCAGTGCAAGTTCACCCTTGAGGGCCTGCGCAAGAAGCGCCCCTCGGTGGGGATCAGACAACAGACCTCTGTGCGACCCTGTTGCGAGACACGCTCAGATTGATGCCCGCAAGAGCTCTATCAGTTGTGACTTCCCAGCGAGATTAGCGCTTTACATTACTGACGCTAGACCTTGACTTGCGAAACCGAAAGGTGGCATAGTCCGCATCAACCGAATGTTTCAACACATGCGCATTAGCGCTTTACAGAAAGAGGAGGGCAACGGCGCAGTCAACAGTTCAAGCAGAAGGAAAAAGTAAAATTGGCGCAGGTACACAATGCTGCGTCCCACATTGCTTCACCACGGACTGACGCTGTCTTCGTTGGGCAGCGTCTGTTAGTTGCACGCTGCCCCCTACGTACAGTGGATACAGCAAGTTGAATGTAGCAGGTAGTCCCCGCGCGCGCGCGCGCAGTAGGCAGCAGTGAAAGCGCATGTGCGCAAAAGAAGACAAATGAGAAGACACGCAGGACATGACAAAATGCGCAATGTATGTGGAAGTGATGAAAAGGAAACCAAATGACTGGGCAGAGCCGAGGAGCCAGACCTTATTGTACGGATGCGTAAAAACCTAGTGTCAAGCGGAAGCGCGCGTCCACACCAAGGTTGGGGCCGATGTGTACGCAAAAGAACAAAGAAATGGCGTGAAAGAGCAGAAGGTGTGCGGTTGCAGATGATGCCAGATAGGAGGGGCAATGACAAACAAGACAAGACCACTAATTGCTTGGAGACAACTTGGGCGGCCTAGCCTGGTTTAGCGGGTGTACTGCGCGTGTTGCGTCGTTAAGGGCCCGGCCGAGCTCACTTGAATCTCGAAGTCAAGTCTTCGACCGCTACAGCAGCGCGTAAGGCTGCCTGATTTCGTCCGATACGGACAGCTGCTGGTGCAAACGCCTGCCCCTGTCAATGCCACTGACGCTAAGGCTCCTTGGGCCGCTGCGGCGCCAGCTGGTGGTAGCTTCCGGCTTATTGTGGGTTTTCCACGAGGGTTGCGCTCAAGAGATTAAGCGATCCATTTGATTGCGCCAGGGGAAACCTCGAGGAAAAAGGGCCCGAGGGAAGAGTTAAAACTTAGCAAGTATATCAGCAAACGCCCTTTCTGATACCGCGCAACCTGAAGAGACTCTTTGCTCGATGCCTTTTCTCGGCTGTGGGGCAGCCCCTTGATTGGAGATCATCAACCGGCAGATGGAAGAGCCAGCGTCAACAACCCGAAGACAAGCAAAAAGGACCGCTCTGAAGCCAGGGTCTACACGCGCGCGCGCTCGAGAAAATGTGCGCGCGATGTGAACGCACCGCCGCCCAAGGCCTACTAAGCGGAAAATGTTCCTGATTGAAAGCGGCGGTCGCCAGCTGGGTTTTGAACGCACCGCAAATTGCATATGTTTACAGCTCTCGCCAATGGCATTTCGTTGGCCCTTCACTAAAAAGGAATAGACCAAACCCCATTTGATCGACCTGGGGAAACCTCGCCTCGTTTGTGTATGTGATGCGCAGTGTGCGTGTAAGGCCCAGGCAGAGATCCAATGGTTTCAAACAGTCCTCCAGCTCAACCACGTCCGAGGGAGGGCGCGTCTGGGCATTGTGGAAGTCTTAACCAACTTTGTCATAAGCCTCCGACGTCTTATGCTCGCTCGGGAAATGATGCGTACCCACAGACGCCCCACACCCCACGCACCACTCCACCCGACCACCCCACCCCACCCCACTCCACCCACACTCCAACCCTATTCCACCGTGCCCCCGCTCTCACTCTCACACTCACTCTCACACCCACGATACCGCGCAACCTGAAGAGACTCTTTGCTCGATGCCTTTTTTCGGCTGTGGGGCAGCCCCCTTGATTGGAGATCATCAACCGGCAGATGGAAGAGCCTGCGTCAACAACCCGAAGACAAGCAAAAAGGACCGCTCTGAAGCCAGGGTCTACACGCGCGCGCGTGCTCGAGAAAATGTGCGCGCGATGTGAACGCACAGCCGCCCAAGGCCTACTAAGCGGAAAATGTTCCTGATTGAAAGCGGCGGTCGCCAGCTGGGTTTTGAACGCGCCGCAAATTGCATATGTTTACAGCTCTCGCCAATGGCGTTTCGTTGGCCATTCACTAAAAAGGAATAGACCAAACCCCATTTGATCGACCTGGGGAAACCTCGCCTTGTTTGTATAGGGTGATGCGCAGTGTGCGTGTAAGGCCCAGTGGCGCCACAGAGAGTCGAAACTTTGCAACAAAGCCATATATAGTTGAAAGATGTTTTTTTGGCCTTGGTTTGGGTGGTTTTGAATTTGTTTACGGTGTTGTTGGGTTAGTGTTTTAGGCGTGGCTGCAAAAAAAGGGTATTGTACAGTAGTTTTGCTGTCAGTCACGTCATGACAAGGCCGTTTCACACGCATGAACATTGAACAGAAACATATTTTTCTGACCAAAGGAAGTTTAGTGTACGAAACTTCCGTGTTACGGACATTCAAGAACTGTTCATACACCACTCATCATACACCACTCATCAAAAACACCATTTATCATACGCCATTCATCATGCACCACTCATGAATACACCACTCATCAATACACCACTCATCAATACACCACTCATCATACACCACTCATCATACACCACTCATCATACACCACTCATCATACACCACTCATCACACACCACTCATCAATACACCACTCATCAATACACCGCTCATCAATACACCACTCATCACACATCACTCATCGTACACCACTTTTGATACACCACTCATCATACACCACTCATCAATACACCACTCATCAATACACCGCTCATCATACACCACTCATACACCACTCATCATACACCACTCATCATACACCACTCATCAGACACCACTCATCATACACCACTCATCATCCAGTTAGCTGTAGTTTCAAGAGCTCTGCTCCAGTTGCAAGAGCTCTAGCTCCAGGTAGCTCTAGTTTCAATAGCTCTAGCTCCAGGTAGCTTTAGTTTCAAGAGCTCTAGCTCCAGTCAGCTCTAGTTTCAATAGCTCTAGCTCCAGTTTACGTGGCAGGCGCGGCGCTTTGTGAACCTCCATGTGCTGGTTTCGTGGCAGGCGCAGCGCAACGTTTGTGAACCTCCATGTGCAGAGTTCGTGGCAGGCGCAGCGCTTTGTGAACCTCCATGTGCAGATTTGGCACAGCACTGTGTGAACCTCGAGGTGCAGATTTCGTGGCAGGCGCAGCACTTTGTGAACCTCCATGCGCAGATTTCGTGGCAAGCACAGCGCTTTGTGAACCTCCACGTGCAGATGCTGGAAGCTGAGAACTGGCGACTTTGTAGTGCAACTTTAATAAGCGGAGCAATCT